ACACACACACACACACACACACACACACACACACACACACACACACACACACACACACACCTAACATATGTGAATATCTTCTCCAGCTTTTATATGAGGAGTGGGCAAACTACGGCGTATTCTACAAGTACCAGCCAATCGGACTTGTGCGGTAAGGACATTCCTTAATTTGAAAAATGACATCGCTTTTGCAATGATGCAGCTAGAACAATTGCAATGTGATTAAAGTGCAGACAGGCTTCAATTTAGGGGGTTTATAATACATTTTCAAGTAAACTATTTAGGAATTACAGCCATTTTTATATACTCTAAACCCGTTCCCTGTTTCAGATACTGTGTTTCTTCCCTTTGAGATGCTTTGCAGGCCTTTACTGCAGCCATCTTCAGTTGCTGCTTAATTGTGGATCTCTCTGTCTTTGGATTTGTCTCTTGCAACTAAAACTCATGTTGGGTTCAGATCAGAGTAGGACCCTGTGCATTTCATTGTTCATCCTGTTGCTTCTAGCAGTCAGATCATCAATAAACACTAGTCACATATACACCCTGGGCTTTCTAACTCGAGACTTTCTCCTTCTACTCCTGCTTCCTCCCTCATACATATAAGATTAATTGGTGATTCTAAACTGGCTGAATGTGAGTTATATAAACTGTGCAGGTCGCAGCAGCAGCAGTGACTATATTAATTACTATAACTGCTCAAATATCCACATATTGCATCTGACAACATTACATGGCCATCATCCACCTCCACAATAAGCCGCCCCCTCTTACCACAACCTATACTTCTGGATCAACCATATTAATGAGCTAGAATATAGATGTATACTTATTATAGATATATTGTTAGAGTATGCAGGAAACAATTCACAAGTTCCTTTGTGTCTGTGCAGATAGTGGTAAATTAGGGAAAAACAATATGCTACAGTTTCGATTTGTGTAATAAAAATGATTTTTTATCTGTTTCCCCGGGTGTTTAGGAAGTATTTTGGTGAGAAGATTGGGCTGTACTTTGCTTGGCTAGGCCTGTATACCCAGATGCTAATTCCTGCCTCACTAGTGGGGGTCATTGTCTTTTTGTATGGATGTGCCACAGTTGATGACAACATTCCAAGGTAAACAAAAATGCATGTGCAAAAATTCCAGTTCTATGTGGTTCTAACTATAATCACCTCAGAGATGTACACATTTAAAGACAAATGAACACCATTTCAGTTGTTTGACAGGTGACACAAGTTAAAGCTGGAAAGCTACAGGGTAGCACTGCAGGAAAGAGATTTAACATTATTTATTTAATTTATTTAACATATGTGTTATTATCACATAGTTGTGATCATAATCTCAACATGATTATTCGCCTCCCTCTTCAAAACATACACATCATAAACATCCACCTGAACAATAGTGTTATAAAAATGGAATATTTTTGGTTTTTAGACTCAGTGTAACAATCTGTGTTATAGCTGGGGTGTACTTTGAAAACAAAGCTTTATTTGTTGCCAGTGAAAAATGTTAAGGACATAAGGTAGTTTGTTATCTTTGATCATGCAATCAGATTGTGTGATTACTTCAAGTAAAAAAATAGTTCATAAAAGACAATCGTTTTGTATTGAAGACTACAGAGAATCGAGTTGCTGCAGATGGCGGCTCCTGCCTGAGCCTGGCTCCGTCGGAGGTTTCTTTCTGTTAAAAGGAAGTTTTTCCTTCACGCTGTCACCTGCTGGTCACAGAGCTCATGTGTTTGTTGGGTTTTTTTCAGTGTATATTTGTTGGGTCTTCACCTTTAAGTATAAAGCACCTTGAGGCAACTGCTGCTGTGATGTGGCAAACTATAAATACAATCAAACTGAAGTGAATTGAAATATAACTCATCCATATTTAAAACTATAAATAACAAACTCAAAGTTTTACATATGCACATTGTTTGGTTTTTGTTGTTTCACTCGGTCTATTGTGGTGTGGTGTGGTTTCCATGTGCTATTTGCACCAAATACTGGAGATACAGGTCATCAGTTCAGTTTCAACTTATTATTAATAGAGTTTAATGCACACCTTTTTTATCTTGTGTTGATATCTAGTGCCACTTACCATATTTTTGCCTTGCTCGGATCATTTTACAATATGTAACTGCACACTATTGATATTGTAGGTACGTAATAGAGTGATGATGCCAAAAAGTCTGAAAACGTTACTCTTTCATTCCCACCCAACCCCTCTTCTAAACGGTTTGTGATTGTTTTCCACAACAAAACACTAAGAATACATTATTGTAAATTTAACACAGAGGCTAAGTAAAGAAAGTTAGCAGTAAAAAACTATTTAACAGTGTAGGACTTAAAGCGGATGGAAATCAAAAAATGGAAAGAGGAAGTGAAAGTACAACAAGCAGGAGAGAACTGTAAAAGTTTGATGAATTACTACAGAAATGAGGGCCTCCTTTCCTTTCTCCACCTGCTTTTTATCATCCACAGGATATTATGACATGCTGGCAGTGCAAATTTCTATCCAGTGGAGACAAATGCCACTCACTGTAAGTGTCAGAATCCTAACAGAAAGCAAACAGACTGTAACACAAACCAGATGACCCATCTATTCATCAGTGCCTAATGGGAATCCGTTTTAGGAAAATTGAGCTAATAACAGCTGCAAATCTCAAAAAAGAAAAAAACAGAATAGTGACTATCATTATGATAACAAAAATACTTCACATACTTCGACATTTGCTACCAAAGTCAGCCCTGTGACTGATGGCTGTGAGGTAATTGCTGATTTAAATGGACATGAGCATCCCATTTTATCAGGTATGTCCTGTTTTTTGTGTGTAAACATGCCAAACATCATATCCCAGTGTATATATTGTCATACTATTACAGTCACATCACTAAGAGCAAAACAAAATTGGAGAAATCCACTATGTAATATGAATGTATCGGATACACTGTTTATAAAAAGGGAAAATCCTCAAGAAAGAGATTTAATCCAGGAAGACCATGTGAAAAAAAGTGTATTTCAGTTTAATTTTTTTATATAGCACCAAATCATAACGACAGCTGCCTCACAGTACTTTACATTTTATATGAGAGAGAAACCCCCAGTAACCTGATGAGTCCCCTATGAGCAGCTCTCGGTAATAGTGGAAAGGAAAAACTCACTTTCAACAAGAGAGGAGTCAGACTCAAGAAACAGCAGCGATCTTCCGCTACTTTTTTGGGAGTGTGGAGGATGAGAAAAGAAAAAAAGTATAAACTATAGAGAGAGAAGATGAAATTTAATAAAATGATCTAGTGGAATAACAATGCACAGGGAGTATAAAGGGGATAAGTGGGGCTGATCTGGGAGCTGGTTCCACAGGACAGGAGCCTGAAAGCTGAAGGCTCTGCCTCCTATTCTACTTCTAGAAACTGTAGGAACCACAAGTAAGTCAGGAGTCTGAGAGTGAAGGGCTCTGTTGTTTGACCTATGGTGATTTGGGTGATTCTGGGGGTGGAGGTGTCCTCACAGCATCATTTACCACCCTCCTGTCCTTGTCTATGCTTGTGTATTCACCCTTTTGTTAAATGTTTGGTTTCTGGGTTTCATCGTGGTGCATTTTGTTGGCCTTTTGGATATTATACAGCTCACAGGTGTAACTTCACAAATCTGCATACAGTATGCACACATATACACAGAAACAAAATCACCTGCAGATGCAAGACACGTGTTAATACTTTTCTGAGCCCCCCCATCAAAACGAAAAGTAAAAAAACAGAGTGAAGTGCTGTGTTGGAGTGGTAATCAGAGGTTGTTAGGATAAGATGGGGCCTGATTATTTAATATCTCATATGTGACGAGAAAGATTTAGTTTGATTCTGGATTTAACTTAAAATGAAGAGAAGCCTGCATGGGAGAAATATGTTGTCTCTGCCTGTCAGTATTCCTGCTGTACTCTTGTTATTCAGTTGCCATAACAAATTAAATTTTTGTGTGATTTGAGATTAGCCTAAAGACAGTGTGAGGGTTGCATTAGCAAAGTAGTGGTGGGTTATAATCATGTATTTTACATAATCTAAACAGTGATAAAAACAAAAATACAACTCTGCATGTGCCTTTCTGTTAATTCTAGCATGGAGATTTGTCATCCAAGGAACAACATCACCATGTGTCCACTGTGTGACAGAGTATGCAGCTACTGGAAACTTAGCACCGCCTGTGGGACTGCCCGGGCAAGTCATCTCTTTGACAATCCTGCCACAGTTTTCTTCTCTATATTCATGGCTCTCTGGGGTGAGTGAAGATAGAGAAGGTCATTCAAAAAAACAAAAGTGGAGTATGTGTGTCCGCTTTATAACGTGCTGTTAAAAAGTATATGCCTCTCCCTGATTGCTTTTTCTTTTGCTGTTTTGTCACACTTGTTTTTTAAAGCATCAAACAAATGGCAAAAAAAGGCAACCAGAGTAAATATAAAATGCACTAATTAAATGATGATTTCATTTATTAAAGGGAAAAGGTTACCCAAATCTACCTGTGCATATGTGAGAAAGTAACGACATCAGCCTTCCCCGAGTTAGTCTGGAGTCCATTAGCTTGTTGCACTCAGATTTGATTATTGATAGCCCTTCTTCTGTTTGTTGATCACTTTTCTGGGAGATGTTTTATAAAAGAAATTGAATTGTCTCATGCAGGTGGAACCGTTTTTATTGGCTAGCACTGTCACCTCACAGCAAATGGTTTTCCAGATTTTCAGGGACTCTGGTTCCCTCCCACAGTCCAAAGACACGCATGTGAAGGGAATTAGTCATTCCAGGATTGGCTGTAAAGCACGAGTGGTTGTTGATCTCTCTATGTGAGGCCTTATTTACCCAGCCCACTTGTTGCTTTACCTGCGTCTGCTGTGCTTACCACCAATCGTTCTTGTTCTGTGTAATTTCCAGATTTTATATTTGAAACATGCACATTTTGATGTCTGGTTGCTTCTGCATATTTTCTTACCTCTCTTTTAAAGCTGCCATGTTCATGGAGCATTGGAAAAGGAGGCAGATGAGACTCAACTATGAATGGGACCTTACAGGGTTCGAGGATGAGGAAGTGAGTAATAATAAAACTGCTTTTCTGTGTGAAAGGATAAAAGGCAGAGACCCAAGGCCCACATAATAAATAAAAGATCTGCTATATATACAATACTATGAAGAGAACCCAGGTCGCCAAACTAGAAATGTTGTCTTTTGTGACAAATATTCATATTCTATTCATATTTTCATATTCATAATAATATTTAAGGAAATCAGACTTTTCCATTTAAGAACATTTTTGTGTTTATTTTTATTTTTGTTGTCCATTCATGTTCAGTCACATTGAGCATGAATAGACTTCACTATTCAGTGTGATTATGAAAAAAACAGTACCCTCTCTCAGTTTACTGTCATACAGACTGAAAACATATTGACCCATTTTTCACTTTACTTAAATGTTGTTTCTCTGAATTTGTTTTTCACAGGAAGCTCTCAAGGTTTGGTGAAAATTCATATTATTTTATTACTATTATCTTGTCTCTTTACTTTTCATAACCTTTCTGCTGCTGCTGCGACCTGCACAGTTTATATATATTCTTAATACCATGTACAGTCCAAAGATGATTTATTGAAAAAAAATGACATTTATAAAATTATGACCATTGACTAACATTTTGTTTACAGGACAAAATGCACACATGATTTGACTGATTGGTTCATAACTGTGAAATCCTGATTTCACGATTGTGCTTGTTTGAGTGCTTTCTGACACAAATCTTTAAACAATAAATGAAGAGAGATGGATCCCAGAATGCTTGTTTTATATCAGTGTCCCTTTGGCAACTTCATTGCTTTTTTTCCTCTAACTGTTAAGCTGAATGGATCCTGGGATAGATGAAAGAAAATCATATCAGAAAAGAGCGTGGGCAAAATAAAATGTTAATTTTATCACCTTATACAGACACCCTAAAAGATAGTTTAACAGCAAACAAACTACCAAACAATGAGTAAGATCATCACACTTGGAAACAGGCAAAAACGTATGTAGCCAGCTTTTAAATTTGTCTCGTATTTAGGTTAGTTTGATAGTTATAACATGTTTAACCACAATTATTAGTAATTGTGAGACCCTCCACTCCCAGGTTCCATTAGACACAGTTTATAAATGCTGAGTCTGTACATTGTGATAATGTTTCCCCTTTAAACTGCACTGTGGTCATTTCCTTTCAGCTCACATCTTTGCTCTTCTATTCACTTTTACTCTGTGATTTTTCACTTCACTGTCTTACGGATGTCAGTTATTTGACTTACTGAAAAGTAAGAAAACATATTATACTTTTTTGATACTGTTTTTGGTTAGACTTGTCTCTTAAACATCTATTTTAGTTTGGTTAGTATGAATCACTGCCACTGTTTATCATTTTTTGTGTGTGTCATCATAGGATCACCCCAGGGCTGAGTACGAATTCAAAGTAATGAAAAAGTCTCTAAGGAAACGTCAAAAGTCCCAGGACAAGGTAAACACATTCTATGCTGTCCATGAAAATCTTTTATTATCAAAGCTGTGTGTATCATAAGGTTATTGAGTATTCTAGTTGTATTTTACTTTAAAACTGTTTTGCCGAGTGCTTTAGTTTGTGCATAAAAAGGGTGTCTTATGTCAATATACCTACATTTGCTTTTGCAAATGCTTTTAAGCATCTTGCAAGAGCTGACACTTTGCCATGTATTTGTATGTTTGCATTGTGTAATCTAATGCTTTTTTGTGCCACTGTTTATTGCACAGCCCACAGGAAAACATTTTATCACCAACAATCTTTTCAAAACATTATGAAAAGCAGTTATATTTGCTTTGTGCACAGAACTAAGACTGCACATTTACAACATATTTAGCACCAATATTTATGAGTGTGCATACCTTCTATTCTGTTTGCCTTGCCTAACAATCACACACTGTAGATGGGTGCACTGGGGGCAACTCAGGGTTCAATATCTTGCCTAAGGCGAGTTCAACATGCAGACTGGAGTAAGCCAGGGATTTGCCCCTCTGCTATCTGAGTCACAGCTGCCTCTAGCTAATGTAATAGTATCTTACTATATAACAGAGCACTTTACTCTTAGACTGTGGCCTTACTTGTATTCCTAAAGTATAATAAGAGCTTTGAGCTAACAGCTCCCTATTAGTCCAAGCATTTGTTTGCCATTCATGTGAAATCGCTCTGAATCAGTTTCCTTGATCTTTCATTTAGTTTTTTAGTTTTGCTCTCTAAAAGTGAAAGTTGGTTTCTGATTATATTTTTGTTTGACATGTTTTGGTTCATATCAGACTCAAGAAGCAGGCTACCACAGACACTGGCAACTTTAGAATGTTTATTGAAACACAACAGGATGCGTACTGCCCAGAGTTTTGTCAATGAGCTTAAGGAACTCTCGACAGGGGAGCGACGGTGGGCTCTGTTTGTTAGAGACTGCAACAGTCTTTCTTGAGAGAAATCCTCTGAAAATTCAGGGGCTACTCGGTTGCCTAGAGGGCTCCCAGAATGGCAAAGAGGAGGTACATGGAGAGGGGATAAGTGCTTCCCTTACAGGTGACTGAGCTATCGTCACCTGTAAGGAGCTTGTGGCTTGGAGGTAACAGATTTCTGGGAATCAATTGATCTTGGCATCAAGTGGCGTCCCTTTAACGGAGGCCTCCTGCTGGCCTGGCCTGTCAGTGATTAAAGTCAGCATCCTTATTTCAGGCCTGTTGGTATTGTTGAGCTGGATAGTGCATTCCTTGTACCAGGCTGTTGATTTCCTTTTTTTGGAACTTTCTCTTTGTCTTTTATGCTTTCTTAATATGTTGTGTTGATTTTAATACATTTAAAAGTATGACTGTGGTGACATTACATGTCATGTTTGACCTGAGTTAATTTTTTTTACTGTTTTATTATTTACTTGTTTCAGATAGAAAAGCTTACATTTCAGGACCGTCTGCCTGCCTACATGACTAACATCGTCATGATGTTGTTAATGGTAGGAAAAATCTTATTCTCTGCATATACTGTACATCACTGATGTTATGTTTAAAGGTGAAAAACCCTTTTACTCCTTCAGATTGGTGTTACATTTGCCATTGTGTTTGGTGTGATCCTCTACCGCATCTCCACCAAAGCTGCTCTTCATATGAGTTCCAGTCTGATCACAAGGAACCATGTGCAGCTGACAGTTAAAACCACTGCAGCCATCATCAACCTTGTGGTCATCCTTATACTGGATGAGGTATATGGAGCTGTGGCACGATGGCTTACTGTATTAGGTAAGTTTTGTATAAAACCTATCATAGCTACTGTATACCGCCCCCCCAAACCTAACCCTGTTTTCCTCAGTGACTTTGCTAATCTACTAACCCATCTTTCATCTCTCTCCCCAAATGTGATCTTGGTGGGAGATTTCAACATTCACATGGACAATAATGACCTTCTGCTCAGCAGAGACTTTTCCTCCTGTCTCGAAGGCTCTCAATTTAAACAATTTATCGACTTTCCCACTCACTCTAAAGG